TGGGCCCCTCGTGTGAGCGAGACTGTAGAAATGTGTGGTCGCACTATAGAAGAACGTCGTCTATTTCAGACAGTCAAACTCAGTGAACGAGAAAGCAGTCGAATCAGATAAGGTGGCTTGTCCATGTCTTATGTTCGACATATGATATCGCGATACAAAAGGATCATCAACCGGAATCATCTCTGGCGTTCATAAGATCACGAACAAACTCTATTCGAGATAGGTAGTCACTATTGTCTTGCTAGAGACCGCCTATGACTTGTATATCCAGAATAGAGATTTCGGGTTATACTGCTATATCGAATGAGTCCACAGGGTCACACACGCAGGGAAGGACAAATGCACGAGAGAACGTCGAGAAACCTGGACACAAGGTCTGGACCGTTCGGTCGAGGAGTGGACCGAACAGAGTAGAGCTTCTAGTCTGAACGGACTGACCAGTTCGAACGAACGGACTGTGTTTCGTGCTGGTCCGAACGGACCAAGTGTCCAGACCGAACGGACTACTTAGTAGTCCGTTCGGTCTAGGTTTCAGGATTAATTTTAAATCCGAAATTAGGGTTAATCACTTTATAGAAAGGAGATTAATAACCCTAATAAGAGGTGGCCGACTTTAGAACTTTTCTACAGACTTTTGGGGAGATCCAAGAGATTGAAAAGTGATCAAAGTCCCGTTTTCTCGAAGCACCAAACCGAATAGCAGATTCGGGTCCTAGCAGACAAGTTCCAACCGTTGGAATCCATCCCGAGGTGTGGATACGTATAGAGGGCGAGGTATTCTTCCTCCCTTTCGTGATCGAACGAGTTCTTCAATTGATACAGGCCCCGGATCGATTGAGGTAAGCGTTCTTACTTTTCTACGATTCATAAGAAGTATGGTTCTAGGGTTTTAATAAATTATTGTTTTACATCCGCTGCGCAAACCCTAGAATCGATCTCTTAGGAATAGGATTCGCTCTAGAGATCCCAGGAATCCCATCAGGTTCTACTATAGAAGCTGAGTATATTGCAGCGTCGAACGCAGCAAAGAAAGCTGTTTGGATCAGGAAGTTTGTTGGGGACTTGGGTGTCATTCCTAGTGCAGATAGCCCCACTGCTCTTTATTGTGACAACAATGGAGCGATCGCACAAGCGAAAGAAACCAGATCCCATCAACGATCCAAACAAATATTTAGACGGTTTCACCTTATCAGGGAGATCATAGACAGAGGAGACGTGCACATTTGTAGAGTGTCGACAGATGACAACATTGTCGATCCGTTGACGAAGCCTCTCCCTTCGTCGAAGCATGAGGGTCATATTAGGGATATGAGCATTAGATGTTTAGTAGTCCATGATTAGAGTAAGTGGGAGATTGTTGGTTTGGTGCTCTATGATGTACTGTTATGTGGGCTTTATTTAGATACATTTGATGTATTGACACTTTCTATGGTTTATGGATGAGTGTTTTATTCATTACATGTTTTGCATACTTGATATGTTATGATATCCATGTATTGTTATGAAGAATACTAAACTCCCTAGTCATATGTCATTATGGGAATAATGATATACTAAGACTAGTATGATGTGTGATTAATGATCATATAGATGATCATAGGTATTGGATACGATCACAATCATAGGTATTCGTTAGAGAACGGAATACTGGATGAACGAAATACTGGATTGACCCGCATGAGATTGTCACATAGACTAGCGACATGACTTGAATCTCATATGATGGTTCCATAATTGGATCTTAAGACCTGAAATATCTACGGAATCCAACATGAGGAGTTGCGTACTTTGAATACGTCAAACGTCCTGCGCAACAAGAGGACTATAAAGGCGTATATCAGGTACGAAACGAATCATGTGTTGGATTGTAGATAGTCAAGACG